TCCATAGGCGCAGTCAAAACAACATCTAACCCATCATGACCAGAGAGAAAGAATACCTGCTCAGTTAGTGCATCAATGACATCTACAATAGAAACAGATTCACAATCAGAGGGATATCTCATGGCATCAAATAAATTAAACCAGATAACCTCCCCATCGAATTCCATGGTCAACACCCCACTGTGAACATCAATTTTAGTTCTAGATGTTTTCAGAAAAGGTCTTCCTAATAAGATAGGTGCTGCACTAGGGGATTCATCATTTGGCATATCTAAAACATAAAAATCAGCAGGAAATACCAGTTCATTCACTTGCACTAAAACATCCTCAACTACTCCTACAGGGTATGTATTAGAACGGTCAGCAAGCTGAATAATCACTCGAGTGTCTTTCAAAGGTCCTAAGTTCAGAGCTTTATAGATATATAAAGGCATGACATTAATAGAAGCTCCTAAATCTAGCATGCATTTATCGTATCTCGTGTTACCTATTTTACATGGTATAGTAAAAATACCTGGATCCTTGCACTTTGGAGGAACTTTCCTCTGTAAAACAGCAGACACATTCTCACTTACACTGACTTTTTCATCTCCACTCAATCTCCTCTTGTTAGTGCATAACTCCTTCAAAAACTTTGCATACCGCGGCACTTGTCTTATAGCTTCCAGTAAAGGTATGTTTACCTCAACCTTGCGAAAAATGTCCAGGGTCTCTTTCTCCTTTTCTTGCTCTCTCTTCTTATTCTTAGATGATAACCTGCTAGGAAATGGAACAGAAGAATTAAACTGATCAGTATTAGGAGAAACAACATCTCTTACCTTAGTGGGCTGCTTATCTTGCTCTGGAACAATAGTCTCTTGTTCCTCTTGGTGTGCTGCCAGCCTTTCAGTCTTTTTCGCTGGAACCTCTAATTGCTTGCCACTTCTAAGGGAGATTGCACTCGCATTCTCCTTTGGATTTCTCTCTGGCTGACTCGGAAGCTTGTTAGAGTTCTGAGCTTGGAGCTTTCCCACTGTGTTAGCTAACTGAGAAACTTGGTTCTCCAAGTTCTTTAGACCACTTCTTGTCTCTTGCTGGAAATGCAAAGTGTTGTCAGCCATTGCCTTCACAATATCTTCCAGAGACATGCTACCAGATTGTGGCTGGGAAACTTGTTGATTTTGAGGTCGCGGCTGATATTGTGGTTGCTGATGAAACCCAGGTGGAGGATTAGAAGCTTGCTGTTGCTGGAAAGCTGGTGGTCTGAGGTTAGAGTTGCCTGCCTGCTGCTGATCATTACCATATCTCAGGTTTGGATGATCTCTCCACCCCGGATTATAAGTCTGAGAGAATGGATCATAACGTCTTTGCTGCCCCTGACCACCACCAATAGAATTCACTTCTTCTTCTTGCAGAGTAGGACACATATCAGTTGGGTGTCCTACCATTGAACAAAGGCCACATACTTTTTCTTGCCCTTTTTCGATCATTACTCGCTCCACTAAGGAAGTGAGTTTAGCTACTTGTTGCTCGAGGTTAGAACTCACCACTTCATTAACTTGACGTATAGAGGTGGACGTGATATTTCGACCTCCTCGATACTGAGAGTTTGCAGCCATGTTTGCAATCAGTTTCTTTGCCTCTGCGGGTGTTTTGTCAACCAGTGCTCCACCACTTGCTGCATCAACTAGATTCCTGTCTGTCTCCCTGAGTCCTTCGTAAAAGTACTGTATTAATAAATTGCTCACTGATCTGATGGTTTGGGCAACTATCTCATAGTTTCTTGAAACGTTCCCAGTACTCATGAAGTGTCTCTGCATCGTCCTGTCGAATTCCACATATTTCTTTCCTGATATTGGCTATCAAAGATGCTGGAAAATATCTTTCTGCGAATACTTTTAGCATTTGATCCCATGTTGTGATGGTTCCAGCAGGTACTTCAAATAACCACTCCTTGGCAGCATCAGACAAGGCAAAAGGAAATGCCTTCAACTTGAGCTGGTCGAGGGTGACACCAGCCGGTTTCATCCCCGCACATGCTATGTGAAATTCCTTCAAAAATTTGCTAGCCTCATTCATGTGAACTGAACCCAAGGAGTTAGTATTACGGAAACCTGAAAATGTGGGAAGAGCTCTAATCAACCCCGGCTTGATCTCAGTTTCTGCCTCATCGTCTACTATGCACAATAAATTTGGATCAAACGTTGGAGCTGCAAGCTGCTTTAGTGTTTGATCACCCTCCTCGTCCGAAGATGAACTTTCACTGTGAGGTAACGGAATATGACGAGCTTGCTCCAATATATGAGCACGAGTCCTTTTAGCTACAGGAAGAGTAGAAAAAGGATGAATTATAAGTCCCTGGTTCCTTGCCGCAAAATTTCTCAATCTTTGATGTTTCAAATTTCTATCACACATACAAGAACAAGGAACTAGGTGACAAGTTAGTAAGAACAGTTAGAAAAACACAAGAAATAATAAAATAAAACGCCAATTCCCCGGCAACGGCGCCAAAATTTGGTACAACTGTCGCGTGTCTACCAAAAATAAACCTAACTCTAACCTCCTAAAATGTAGTAGGGTAAGCTAGGGTCGATCCCATAGAGAATTGGGTTATTAAACTATAACTTGTGTATGTTAGAAACCCCCGTTTTGAAGAAATGATACTACGGTCTAACAAATAAACTACTACGAACTATAGGACGAATAAAATACAAAATATAATAAATAAACTACTAAAATTGAAATACAATAAAAATCAAGGATACTAAAATAGGGATCGGAAGATATATATTAGTAATTGGACTATGAATTGATCACCGAATCAAATAAATCATGCACATGTCTTAATGTTATCCGATGAACACAAATAAGCACTCAACCTCCCTCAAGTGCAAATAAACCAAACAAGCTCTTGGGTTATTGTCTAACTAACTAATAATCTAGAACAAGCTCTCTAGACTCGATTAATTAGCAGCATTAAAACAAGGAGATAGTTAACTTAAACCACAAATCTCACAAGCTCGGATTTGTGCAACTCAAAGGGTTGATAATCTTAGGTATTATAAAAGGTTTTAGTCACCAATCACACACCTAATTTCTACCAAAGGAAATTAACAAAGACAATTACGTATCACAAGTTAATACTTTAGCAATCAAACTAGTAAACTATACAAAAGATGGCCGGTCTAAAATATAATTCGACTAGTTCATATCGATAAACCAAATTATCAATCCAATCAAGACATAAACATAATACCCAATAATTATAACAATTCTATTCTCACAATACAATAATCCAATGCATAATTTATCTCCCTACCCTTATTTAATCTAGCCTGACATACTAATAGTATAGAATAGAAAAGGAGAAATCATGAAATACATAATATAGCTAATTAACAAAGCTTAATCAATAATGAAACTTATCAAACAAAACTAATTATCCAAACTCCAATACCAACTACAAAACTAGTGCATATAAATAGTAATAAGCAAAATTGTAATACCACTAAAAGTAGACAAGGTACTGACAAAGTGACAATTAGATTCACTTAGCTAATTCCACGAAGAGAACAAATTTAGTGCTATTAATTGTTCTTCACCCTTGTTTCAGTCCTTCAATTGCAGTAGGTACTGGTTGTCTCTTCTGATGTACTGCCACCCACAAAACTTAGACCCCCCCAAAAAAACCACCTATCCGAATTTTTCGCCCCCATAATTAACTGATTTCATCCCTATCATCTATTGTTTGATGATCTGTTACCCGCGAGAATCGGTCAAGATTTCCTATAGCAGCTTCCTAGAGAAGATGAACGTGTTTTCCTCTTTTGGGGTTTCTCTGCTTCTTTTAGGGCTGCTGGACATCAAGTCTCTCTTGATGGGCTTCACTTACATCATTAACTTTGGGCTTGATACAAATATGAGTAATCCCAATTTGTGGGGTTTCGTTTCCTTGAATCCCGAGCAGCAATTGAATCCATTTTGATGTCAAAATTCTCTTTCCTATAAACAACTAAATAAAATAGTAGTAACTCGTGTCTATAGAAGAATATTAAATAAAACACCCTTAAACAATGAAATTTAATTATAATATCAAGAGCTTAATAAATGTACTATCATACTTTTATGACCCTATCACATATGCCCTTTTTTTAACTTTTGCTACCAGTTAACGAAATCCGTTAGGGTTCCGTTAAGTTTATATTTTAAAAATAAATAAATAATAATAAAATTAATATTAAAATTAAAAAAAAAACCAAATGCCCAGCTCAGCCCTCCCGTCAGCCACTCAGCCACCCTCCCCCTGCCGGCGACCGACACCCAAAGTTGCGGCTGACACCAGCAACCCTTTTCCACACCTTTTCCCCACCAACGCAACCCAACCCCCCTCCCTTTTCCCCTTCTTGTTGCTCCGACCCCAACCACCACACCAAAACCACAATCGCCACACACTAATCTCTCTCCTTTGTCCTCTCGACGTTTCTCTGGCGAACCCACAATCGCCACTCCAGTTTCGAGCTCGGTTCTTCTTCAACCTCAGAAACAATTGTCCCCTACCCTTTCTCCCTCACCTACCCCCTTGCCACCACACGCATCACCAGCACCACTACCCCCTTCCCCCACACACAACCACACCCACCACACGCACCACCTTCAGCACCACGCGCACCACCACCAGCACCATCACACACACACAACCACACCCACCACCAGCCCACCACTAATAATAAATTGATGGAAAAAGGGTAAACATACCTTATGATCTTCAACTTTTGGTTTTTATGGTTAAATTCGACCATGAAAATCCCAGATCTGGAGTTTTCATGGTCGAATTCGACCTAAAAACCGTTAATTGGTTGAATCCGATCTAAAAGCCGTGGGGGTGGGTGGCGCCAGACTTCGAAAACCGAGGAGAGAGAATGAGAAGGGAGGACCGGAGGAGGGAGGCGGAGATTAGAGAGAAAGATGAAGGAGGCGGTGATGAGAGAGAAAGAGAAGGGAGGAGGGAGGAGGAGGTGGTTATGAAAGAGAAGGAGGAGAGAGGAGATGAGAGAGAAAGAGAAGGCTGGGTGTTTTTTTTTTTTGTTGGTTGACGGGGAGGCATTTAGGGTGGCTAAGGCGAGAGGGGTGGCTGGAAGGTGGTAATGATGGTGGCAGGATCTCAATAACGGAATTATTAACGGATTTCGTGATCTGGTAGCGAAATTTAAAAAACGAGATTTGATAGGTAGTAAAATAAAATAAAACTTTTTCCAAGTAGCAAAAGTAAATTTCATGTATTTTAGAGGTAGCAAAAGTCAAAATTTTCTAACAATAAAGCTGAAAATCTTAAGTCCTCTAAAAATCTTAGGCAAAGAAAAAGCAAGTAGAAGCACCCGAACAATCTCAGGTTAGGGTTTCTATCCCAATCGAGTTTTACTGAAACTTGGTTTGATTGATTTGAAAATACTTTGATATCCATAATCATATGAAAACAAACAGGTTTAATTGATTGCATATATGTTTGTTTGTTTGATTGTTTACAGAGAAGAGAGATGGATGGTGATGAGACAGCATCGAAACATTCGCCTGAATCAATATTTAGCTTCATTGATAATGAGGAGGATTCAAAGCAAAAGAAATATAAGAAATCAGGGTTTGAGGAGTTTGAAGGGGCATGGGAAGGCAGGGTTGAACCGTTGTTGAGTTGTATGAATGAGATGGATCATCTGTATCGAAAGTCTGGCGAAGTTGCTTTGAATGATCTCAAGGGTAAACAATACCTTCTCTTTGTTTGCTTATACTTTCATTCCCAATCCAGCATCGAATTCGAATTCGAATCCTACTATCCCCAAGATTTCATTCCTGCGTGTCATGATCTCTATTCTTATAGAGATGATTTCGAGATTGTTTTGGTTAATTCTACTAACACCAATCCTGACTATCCTTTCTTATTCATTTACCCTCTCCGTCACTTTCCTATGTCCTCAGTTGTCGTTCCATTCGACGACTATCACCGTCGTTCCTCAATACGCCAACTCCTTGACCCTGTTAATTCTGGTTTAGGTTTTGATTTTAAGTGCCTCTTTCTCGATGTTGCTCATAAAACAATGCTCGTTGGAGAACCCAATTCCATGTCTTCTTTAGTAGCTCATCTCAAGGAACTTGTGCACAATAGCTCATTTGACGCCTTACGTTCTTATCAAAGGCTTTTGAAAAATATGTGGCCCGTCAACTCGTGCCTTCCACCAGTGACATGCCCTATAGCTAGGATTTTTAAATGTGCCAAACCCGAATATTCTCCTGATATCAATGCCATGGTTTCTCAGTTATCTCCTATTCAGATTGGCCACACTTTGGATGTCAAGATGCTCTTGTCCGCTGGTTCAAATGAGCTTGGTTACCTTGTTTGAAAAGACGGTCAGCAAGTGGAAATTGGCAAGGCGATTCAGGACAAATACTTGATGATTTGATGTTTTCACGCTCCTGTCTCTACTAAATACATATTTCGAACTTTATGCTTTGGGTGTGGATTTTGAGATGGTAGTGATTGTAAAGATGAAGAAACTAGCTGGTTACAAGCAGGTTTTTGATCATTTCTTGTCGGCCTTCCCCCCTTCTTGTTTTGTAATACCGTTTGATGACTTGAAGTGTCGAGATTTTATATGCAACTACCTTCAACTCAATTATTTTCAATGCATGATTTTGGATAAGAAGGGTATGGATATGAAGAAGAACATTCTACTTCATGGAAATAAGTTTGTGCGCTATTATGGAGCCGATGCCTTTCCCTTCACTGATGAGAAGCTGCAGGAACTTCAAGCAGATGAAGAACCGAGATGGAGAACTTCTTCCACTAACAACCTTGTGGGACTTTTGAGGTGCAAACTGTCTGATGTTCTAAAAAAGACCAATGCAGAAGATGGTTGTGGCACGGTGACGACTATTTCAGACCTCAATAACAAGGATTTTGTTGGGTTGTTCTTGTGTGTCAAAGGAAATTTCATTCCCAAGCTCAAGGAGGTATATGAACACTGCAAAACTCACCACAAGTCATTTGAAATTTTGCTGGTCTACATGCCCACGAATGACTCTCTTGACCCACAAAATTACAAGTTGTATGTTGATAATCTGCTGCAAAAGCACAAGTTATCCTTGTGGTATATGCCCTTTGATAATTCTGTAAGCCACAAGCTCTCTCGACTTGTTTGCCCCATAGAAGATGAGCTTATCATTTTGGGAACCCAGGATGCATCTATTGATCCTTATGGCCGAGATGTATTGAGCACTTTTGGAATTAATGCTTATCCATTTACTAGAAAGGAACTAGTCCAGCGGGAAGTAAACAAGTTCAAAGAACTCACCTTGGAGACATTGCTGGTGTATGAGTCACAGAGTTACCTTCATAAAGGAAACACAAAGATTCCTGTAGCAGATTTGAGGGGCAAGAATGTACTTCTTTGGATGAGCTCTCTTTCTCCCAGTAATATTTCTTTCTATCATAAACTATTATTATGGTACGAAAACAATCGGACAAAGAGTCCTGATTTTGAAGTGGTATTTGTTCGCAAACATAATTCCGCTGCAACTGATGATGATTTAGAACTGTCTGAAGTAATGCCATGGTTGATATGCCCGTTTATCGCTGATCACTCAGCTTCCATAGAAAAGAAACTATTTCCAGATGGGGGCATATGTGGTGATGCCCTTGTTGAATTTGGAACAGATGGCCTGGTTTGTTCGTTTACCGCTGATGAAGACCTTCTAGATATTGGTGTTGATGAATCTGGAAAAATTCCATTTGGCCGTTCTAATCTGCGCCGCAGTGCAATTAAGAATCTTTGTCACCACCATTTTATAATCATGAATAATTATACAGATTGAATCTGTCAAATGTGGCTCTTTAGTACCAATTTCTTTAGAATTTGCTTAGTTTCTGGTATGTATTTTGACAAGTTTTAAGAGTTCCGTACTTTTACTGGAAAGATTTTCATTGCCAGTGTTGTTTTGTTGATAAGAAGCTATGATCAAGAAGCAGTTTGCTCAGTTGGTTTTTGAAGTAGTTTGCTCAGTTGGTTTTTGTTCTTGTTTTTATCAGTGTTTCTCATTTCTTGAATAGGCTTATTATGGCCGATTGATGGAATGGCATGGTGAATTCATGTGCCATGTATGAACTTCTTGAGTTACAGTAGTCATCTTATATCTGGAAAAGCTGTTTGCGTATAAAAATGCTGATTACAGCTGATTGATTGAATTGACAGGGTGGTTTTTTTTTTTTGGTTTTGTTTTGTTTTGTTTTTTTTTTTAATCACTTAAACTTTCTTTTGTGTTTGATTTTAGGGTGTTTTTAATTTTCTGCTTTGCAAGTATGTCTTTGAATAGAAGCTTTTGAAATATAGTTAGGTTATATTGATTTTTGAGGTTTGCCTTGATTTATTTTACATTTGTATGTCCTTAAAATGCCTGACTACGTTTGGAAATCAAAAATTATATTATACATTGCCTTTGAAATCTTATTCTCTATTGAAGCTATTGAAGCATGGTTAGGTTATGTGTTTGCCTTTTGAGGTTTTCCTTGGGGTTACTTGAATTTAGTATGTCCTTGGGGTTTTCGTTTCTGGATATAGTTTGTAATTGTGACCCTTTTGTAAGCTATTGTGTATGCTAAAATTGTGTGCATGATTGTTTGCTAAACCATGCGAAATTCTAATATATGGATTCATTTTTCTTATTTTCTTTTTGTGGTTTGAATTTCTGTCTGCTTTCGTTGCTGGGTTACTTGTTTCTGCTGTTCCCTGGATGATTAAGGTTTCAGTTGTGCTAAGTACATCAGACTGTACTAAGACTTGGTTTTACGAAAGAAAAGATGGCATTAAAGAAGATCAGAAAATTGACTGATCATTTTTTGGGTTCGTGCAGGAGAAATAGCGATCAGACCTATGTATCTTCTAATGCGTGCATTTTTTGAGGTTTTTACATTTAAGAAAGTCAATTATTAATTTATTTATCTTGCTACATTGCTCTAGCTGATCTTCTACCTACCCACGCAATCAAGCCGGGGCTTTCTCTTGATTTCTCTGTGTTCTACTATGAGATCCTTTGATTCCGATTTCCTTTTGTGTTGTTGATTGCCATTTTCTTCTTCTAAATAGGTCTTATGGGCAATTTCTGATATTGGGTTTTAGTACTTAATATTAATTACAACTTTTTTTTTCTTTTTTTTTTTTTTTTTTGGTAAAGTGAATGTTCTGTATTACGTTTTGTGATTTTCAGGCATGAATTAAGGATGAGAATTAGATCACTATTGAGGTGCTGAATTATAAGCTTGAGAATGGTATTTTCATTGCTTCTAATTCAGATCTTCACTCTTTGTTTCACTTTACAGTTCAGTTTCAATTTGTGTTTTGATAAATCATTTAAGTGATGTTTGAAATTTCTAATGCGCATTTGTTGGTATTGAATGCTGAACGGAAGTATCTTTCAGTGTGGGTTGTGGTTAATGATGGGAACTTCTGTGAAGAGAATTTTCTCATTTATTCTGGTTTGATATTGGTTTGCCTTTTTGTTAATCTTTGAAGCTGTGACTCTCTTCCTGCCTTTTGACTTTCTACTCTTCAAGATATTGTACATATTTATAAATTATATATCATTGTAGCTATGGATCTTCAAATAATATTGAATCTTATATTCTTATCCAACATTTAGATATCTAAAGGGCACAACTAAGAAGCAATTCCTGACTTTAGTTGCTGACTATTCTGTTCTGTGTATCGATTGATATTTTAGCTAGCTAAAATGCTTATATTACCTGTTGAATTGGTTCTGGACCACATACTTTCTTAATATTTCTTTATCCTGACAAAATCTCATTCATTACCCATATGTTGCAGATTTTGAAGAGTAAGGTTGCCAGTGTTAAAGTCGAACCTGTAGTTACAACTGGTTCAGGTGATGCATTTGTGGGGGTCTTTCCAACCAGGTTAGCATCTGACTCGAATTAAGGTACATTACAGCAGAACTTGGAAAGATACATGATAGTGCTTGGCTTCATTCAATAAAGCTTTCATGTTTGTTGAAAGATGCAAGTTATTGAAAGTTGGGATGAGGGAATGATGGAGACTTTTTAAGGGTTGTGGTGGGGGGAGGATTACGAACTCTTATTTGGAGACGATGGAAATAGACTTCTGATCATGTTTTGATGTACCAGTTGGAGCTAATACTCCCAAGTTGGAACTAATATATTGATAATCCATTGAGCCAATATTCAAGTCATTATTTTTCTCTTAATATAGCCTATATCCAGACTATGAAAGTGTAGAACTAATAATTAATATCTAAAAAAATATATATTATCCTGCACCAATGTTTGTCCACAATTCTGGATAATTTGCATACCAGCTTATGTTCCAAATATTTATTACTGCATATAAGTCAAGTTTATTCCTTATATATGGTACAGTTCGTCAACCATGAATACACAACAAAATCAGACTGGTGTTATCATCATGGACTTTAGGAATGGAAGGTTGAATGTTTCTGCTGGTATCCAACATTCCAAATATTGTCTTGTAACAAATTTGATTTATCCGTAACACCACCAAAAATTGTATAGCTTATCAAAAAAATATCTTAAACAAATTTTTTTTTTCAAGTATATGGTCTTATGGAGCACAATGCCCACTTGCATTGCACACACAATGCGTCTGTGTCTAAGCTTGTGCCAAATATTGTCTCTAACTATTTCTTGATGTTTGTGTCACTAAGTTTTACTTGCATTTGCTGTAGTCTGCCTCTCAGAATAGACTTAGAGCTAGCAAAAGAGTTTGCATTAAGCAGTTTGTGCTTTTTTGATAACTAATGGGTTGACACCCCTTAATCTAACAAAGTCCATCTATTTATATCAAGGGATTAAAATTTCAACCCTAAATCAAAGCGGATCGACCTGAAGCAGGTTACTTGAACCTTATTGGTTCAACTGTTTATGTTTTTTTTTTTTTTTTTTTTTTTTTTTTTTTTTTTTTTTTTTTTCCTCCTCTTCATTTTTTTTGTGAATATATTATTCTTTGCATTGAACTTATAATGATCTAGCTAAAAATAAAAGGCGCATATGTATTTACAGTATCTTGTGAAGTATGGTCATCTTTAGCATCCTTCTTTAACTTAGCTAACTTCCGCATTCACCTTCTTTATATCTTTGGGTGCCTCCTTTTTATTATTAATTAATGGGTGATTGGTTGAAGCTGCTTATGTTTAGGCTAATGCTAATTTAATCCATTTAAATAGATGTTTTGATACTTCTTTGAGTGTGAAGCCACTTGATTAAATGTGTTGCAAGCTCAATCTAACCCTGTTATTTATTGTGCTGTTTTGGTAAGATTGCCACGGACTTATGTTTTGGCCAACTATCACATTCACTTTCTTCATCAACACATCTTAAGCTGTAAAATTGGCAGGTTATATGTGAATTAATACTTAAGGAGTTGAGGTACTGGTGAAAGAAAGGCTTGGTGATTGGCATCATGAGTGGAGTTGCAATTTCAAGTTTCTATGATAGAGCTTATCCTAGATTCCTAGTAGGAGAAACCTTTGACCTTGTCTTTCTGATGTTTTCTGATGCAGAGGTATAAATGCAAAAGTTGTTGATATGCCTCATCATTGTATGTTACATTTTCCTTTTATCTATACCCGTATAATTGTTTTGTGCTGATTGTATCACTCTATTTATTTTTGAATGGTTTGCCGGATAATTTTAGCAGCCTTTTCACATATAGTTTCATGGACTCAAGTCCTTACTCTCGTTCTTGGTTCAATTGGTTCCGCCTTTGTATATTTTCCCATTTGACATTAATAGGTGTTTACATGCCTTAGATGCTCAATATGTTTTATTAGACAGTGGTTTATGTTGAGTTATTGAGCATGAAAAATGATCCTTTTTATTAAGTGTTATGATCTCAGTCAGTTCTTCCTCATATGGCTTCCTTAAGAATCTTCCCAATGAAGGACAAAGTGGCTTTATAAGGATTGTTAATTCTGTATTTATATCTATATTTTTCAATTGCTGATCAAGGAATTTTTTCTTATGGGTTCGGAGCTGCTAAACATATATTTCGTACATGAATTAAATCAAATAACATAATTTAAAATACATTACAATTGATAATTTGTGTCTGCACATTTGTAATACGAGTTCAAAATAATAAAAAATTACAGTTGAACATGATCAATCAATCAATCAAAGCCTTAATCCCAAAAGTGGGTCGGTTAACATGAACCAAATTTGATTATTCCGTGTAGTCATCAACATAGATCTTTCTCCTCCATCCCTTACGATCCAAAGCTTCATCCTCATGTAAATCCATGCACTTCATATCTTCCTAACTCCTTCCAACCAAGTCATTTTTGGTCTCCCTCTCCCTCGTTTAATCCCTTCATGGTCCCACTCTTCCACTCTTCGCACCGGTGCACTATCGGGTCTCCATCTTACATGTCCAAATGTGCAAACCAGACGATTTTCCCTTAGTTTATCTGTAATGTCTGCCACCCCTACTTTCTTGCGAATAACCTCATTTCTGATTCGATCTGATCTCTTAAAGTGTTTCCACACATCCACCTTAACATGCGCCTTTCCGTAACCTCCATCTTTTTAATATGCTCTTTCTTAGAAGCCCAACATTCTGTACCATAGAGCAACACTAGTCTTATGGCAGTAGTGTTTTCCCTTCAACTGTAGGGGAATGCTTCGGTCGTATAACACTCCCGTGGCCGTTCTCCATTTAAGCCACCCTGACTTAATCCTGTGGGCCACATCTTGATCAATGTCCCCATTCTTCTAGATGATCGACCCAAGATACTTAAAACATTCACTCATGCTCAAATCCTTTCCATCCAAACTCACCACTTCATTGCTTGTCCCCTTCTGTGTGCCAAAACGACATACCAAATATTCAATCTTACTCCGACTTAGCTTAAACCCTCTAGATTCCAACCTTTGCCTCCATTGCTCCAATGGAACATGATGAGTCTTCAAATTTTGGAACAATTGTATTTATATAAATCTCT